ACTCTTCCATAAGTGGGTCTAAAAGGACCCGTATTAGAATAATATGTGTTTTTATGCCATTTTTGTCATTTTGGTTAAGAAAAATCACTTTTTTTATACATTTTGAAAAATAACGTTTTGAACATATTGTCCCAAAGATCTCCGCTATTCTGAGACCCTCATCTCGTCTCCTCTTGTCTACTCAAACCCCCCCCCCCCCTCATCAATCCATGCCGGTTGATCAAGTTTGATAGTCCCATACCCCCCACCCTAACCTTCCCTTATATTGTAAAGCCATTTTGAGTCCTTGAAAAGCCCTATAAAAAATATAATGTATTATTATTATTATTATTATACTGACAGGTATCAGATCTTGCTGTGTAAAATAATCTTCCTGAGAGGTGTCACTTGTGATGTAGTCTGTATGGTCCACAGTGAATGTATTCCTGACAGCAACAGGTGATAAGAATCAAAGGTTCCCATAGGATCCCATAGAAAATGCATGCGGGTCATTTATGGAAGCTTGGGGTAGTAATTCAAAAATTACAATTTCTTAAAATGTATAACATTTACATTTCAAATTTGAATGGCATGATATCCAAAACACGTTTTTGGAGGAATAGCTAGAATATGAAAGTATAAAAAAATGTAATTACAAAGATACTCAAAAAAATACCCACTAAAGGTTAATTAAGAGAAACATGAATGAAAAAACTGAAACACAGAAACAAAATCACCTTAAAAACACTTCATATTTTCTAATTAATTTCATTATTGTAAGGAAAAAACCTAGACTGTCTCTTAAGATAATTACAAAGATAAATCGTTTTTAATTCTACTCTAAATGTTTGTGTGTGCAAACCAGCCAACAGCTGCATAACCTCTACCACCTTTCCAGATGAATGTATTGTTCTCATCATTTCTATTTGCAATACATCCTACTAAAATAATGTAATGTTTGATTTAAATTCTGAATTGATTGGTATTCAAATAGTCCACAATAAAATTCTCAAATGTCTTTCTTAAATAAAAATTGCCTTTCTTAAGAAAATAATCAGATTATTAATTAATCTAATGTTACCCACTACAAAGAAGAAAATCAGATTCCATAAAACAGAGTTATACCTACACTCTTATTCATTTCTTTAGTAGGCAAAACATTATGGAATAATTTAAACTAACATGATTAATGAAAGCATCGACTGTTGTTTTGTATTAATGTGCATTTGCACTGCTCTCTGCTGGTGCTTCCTCGTGTTGCTGCTTCAGTGAACGTCTTCCCATCAGAGATCAATAACTAGGTCAGTGGTTTCTTACCTTGTTTCTAAACCCTTCTGCTGTACCTCACGTTTATTTTAATTATTTTTAAAAGCATGAAGATGTAAAGCTATACAATCAAAATATTAAAAAAACACTCACAAAATGTCTTCTTGTTTTTGTATTTCTTATAAAATCATTGTCCAATCCACAGAAATTATTAATTGCATTTTTAAGAAATAGTTTTTTAAAATATGCTCTTAGGATTTGTATTATTCTCAGTATTTGCTTTAAACTAAGGGACATTCTGGTTTGTTTTAAGTGAATCAAAGAGTATGATTAAAATATTGTTTCATAATTATTCTTAATGTTATATAGAGCTTCTGCGCTGGTACTGTTTGTGTTCAGCTTTTAAAAGGAAAGAAGTGTGTATCAAATCTCAAGTAAATAGGTAAAAAGTGAAACACTTAACGTTGCATTTTATGTTACCAGTCAGTTCCAAGTGGCTTCATCATACTAGGGTTACTTTTAGAAAGAAACGATAAATAACTAAGATATAACTTTTGTAAGCGGTTATATTTCCAAATATTCTATCAAGAGAACATCTTTTGAGCTAGAAGGTGTTTGATTCATCAAATCTGCACTCTCAGCGTCACTTTATGTAACTCAGACACTACAATACCACCATTATATCAGAGAGCATTGTGCCGAGCCCGGGACACCTGACACTGTTTTACGGATGTAAGGCGCCAGAAAGCACCGGGGCGCTGCTCCCTGCCAGCTGGTTCTAACCCCAGGGCCAGGAGGTTTTCGTAACATAGCCTGGGGTTCCTATTGAAAATAATTCCTAGGTGGAGATGGATGGCTGATATGAGGGGAAACCTCCGGTCTGGCCTCCTGCTCTGCATAGGGGGTCATTTAAGGGGTCAGATGTGACCTCCTGACCTTCGGAGGTCACATCAATCGATCCAAGAAACCAAAAAATGCGATGCAGCTATTAGCTGAAGGTGTTCTCGACTGCCTTAAATCAGCAGGAGAGGATTCAATGAAATGATATCCTTTCTACCCAGGTTTTAATCAGTAATCCATTTGTTTTTTAGTTACTTCTTTGTCATAATGATTGAATTGTGTTGCTTCCAAAACTGCATGCTTATAATCTTTAATACAGCTTTAAATGATAATATATTTAGTTTAAAAATACAAAAAATATATTGATTCCAATTTAAAAATTATTTATATAATGTAGGCACACACAAAAAAAATCTTGGTTATTTCTATCTGTTCGATATCCTCTGGTTTCAAGAGGAAAATATTCTATAAAAATGCTGCTCAAAATCTACGTCCACTTGGACTTCAACTCAAAAATGATAAAATAGAGATTTTATGTGTCTATGTAAAGCACAAATGACCAGCTTGTTGAAGGTGGCCGGAGAGTTTGAACAGTGCCAAACCACATTTCCTGCCCTGAAAAAAACGGTCTTATATTTGATATACAGTCATTGATAGAAATGTCCCAACTTTGAGCCATAACTCAAGATGAATCTGGACACTTTAAACTCAAGAGAATATGTAAACTGATACATTAATTATTTTTTCCAGGAACAGAAGTGAATGAATGTTATTCATGTCCTTTGCTTTCACTGGTGAATTCTGGTGAGCACAAACTCTTATGATAATATCCATGTAGAAATAAGTTTGATGTCACACATAAGCATTTCTTCCAAACTGCCTCGATGGCTCCCCTGGTTCCTTGTGGAGGCGGTTGACTGTCTTGCTTTGTTTGTGGCGTGCTTTAGAAAATGACGCAGCTCCAGTGTAGGAGTATTCAGCGCTACAGAGAAAAACAAAAGGATAAGAAATCAAGCCCGTTTAAAACACAAAATATATGTTTTTTCTTTTTTAGATAAGCATCTTTTGGTATATCACGTCGGTAGAGCTAATAATTTAGGAGAAACATTTAGTGCTGCCATGCTTAAATGTTGTCCGTGAAACCTGCTTAACAGTTAAAGAGAACCAAATCAAGCTTTTTATTGTTCAAATGTTCTATCTTGCTTTCTTACTCTTGGTTCATTGATGTAGCCACATCATGACAAGAATAACCGCCTTTTGCTATGCTAGCAGCTCTGCTAGGCTGTGCTAAGGGACAGCTTAATGCTAACAAGCTCACAATGACAATGCTAACATGCTGTTGTTTACCAGGTTTAAAGTTTACACTAGTTTAGCAGGTTAGCATGCTATCATGCTAACAAACACTTAGGAATGAGTACAGCTAAGGCTTGATTTAATTAGTTTTCTAGTTATTTCGTTTATTATCTGAAAATGATATTTATCTTAGTCTTTATTCACAATATGACCACCATATTAAGCAGGACTTACTAAAACATATTCTGACCCAAAGATTTCACCGAAAGAGAAAGCTAGCAGTCTTTATCTGATGCAACATTTCCTTTTAGCTACCCTCAGTCAAGGTGACTTTCACTTGGAAACATGTCTTACTACTGGACTGTAACAAAGAAAACATTCAGCCTCTGTTGGCCACAATACTAATCAAAAATGACGATTATACAATCTGCCCTGTAGGTTCAACGATTATGAGACAAGATGTTGAGAGAGATTATTGCATGTTTACCATTGCTGCCATCTCTTCATTGCAGTTAAAGTAATTATTTAAATTGCCTGATTGAGTAAGCAACTAAGTGCAGTTTAGAGTTCGTCCAAATCAGATTTCTTCTAAACCCTTGTTGCTGATGACAGACGGGGGATCACATTGATAGCATCTAGAATGTTAGAAAAATCAAGCCATTTACCTGGAACCTTCAGACAGGGAGAGACAGAAGACAAGACCTCCGAGGATACACAGCACAGATCCAGCCCAGCCGATAAAGAGAGCTGCTCCCAGTTCAAACCTGAAGAGGAAAAAGAAGACATATGTGACTGGACTTCCTTTTATCTGCTGTGAAACAAATATTTCCTTTAATCTTGAATTCTTACTTCTGAGCAACAAAGAGGGGGTCAAAGAAGTCAGTTGTGATCCTGTGAGCATATATGGAGCATGCAGTCATGCAGCAGAGGCCTGCAAAGAGAAATAAGAGGTCTGAAATCAAAGCAAAAAGAACTGATCATGTAATTCAGTGAGATGTAGTCCTAAATTGAACAGCTTCCTTAACATGCAGCTACATTCCCAATATATACAGAGAAAGGTACCACTGAGAATGAAGTGGAAACCCGAGAGGACCGCCAGACGAGCCTTGGTGGACTCCGAGCCTCCTATTTTTGTGCACTTCATTCCTATCAAGGCGAAGATGGCACCAAAGAAACCCAGACATACAGCTGCGATCATGAGACCCCGACACACCTGGATATAGGCTTAGAGATACACACAAGGGGGGATGACTTAAGTTAGTGGTTCCAAAGTCTTTAAAAAACATTATCTTTATGTCTGGAAGCTAAATGTAAAGCTACATCCAGCATCTGGTTAACTTGGTTTTGCACTAAGACTTTAAACTAACGGAAACGGCTAGCCTGACCATATATGTCTCTGTATTTTTTTCATTAATTCATATTTATTTCTAACCAAAACCAACATTTAAAACCGAAAATCTAAGCTTAGCTAACTATATCCTCCTACCTGTTGCTTTTTATATATTGTACAGATAAGAGTGGTATCAGTCCTCTCACTGAACTATTGGCAACTTGGAAAAAATGTATTTTTAAAAAATCACACTATTCTTATTAAATCAAAGTAAAGACTATAGCAAAGCTACATTTGATTTCAGTCTTGGATATGTGAGTTTCTGTATTTGGATAAATACTTTATAACCAGCATATTGTAAGAGCTGAGGTTAAACATCTAATATTGGAGAAAAAAACCCAGAAGAAACTCACAACCATGCCGAAATAAATGACATATTCATTAACACAGCCAAAATCATTAAAAGGCAAAGAAGTGCATTAAGTGATGTATACAGGTCATAGGAGTTTTAAAACTGCTGTACAGCATGACTGATTTGAAAGACATAGTTTTTACTCAACAGGTAGTGACCACAGATAATAGTTAGTATCTTTGAAACCACACAAATGTAAAAATTGCCTTCAGTTTATTTGAATTACAGCAATGCCTTTGCTTATTGTTAATGGCAAGACATGGGAAGTGACGAGTGACCTTTGTATGACTGTGGGACTTTATATGACTTAATTCGGACACATTAAGAGGTTGTATCAGTCCACCTTAGCTTAGTTACTGAAATGACCTCTTGTACCCTTACAATGCTGGTAATTCACCCAAAAACAACAGGTGTTTTGGGCATTGCTTTGACTAGATGACTAGTTGCATATGCACATCAAGCTATATCTCTGTAACATCAACAAAAACCAACTCCAACTCACGATCAAGAGCCAGCATCGAAGGAAAGTCCTTGCAGTTGGACACCCCGGTGGAATCAGTCACACATGTTTTCCATAGGTTAGACCAGAAGGTAGCCGTAGTGATGACCGTCCCGTCCACAGAGGACACCTTCCAGTAGTCTAACGGCAGGATGGAAGAAACCAGGATCCAACCAGAGATGGCCAGGATGAAGGCTACAATCTCTGTTGCCATGTTCCCCATTTTTCCTGCGGCTTGGATGTCCCGACTGGGACAGGACGGAGATCTATCCCTCAGTAGGGACACAGAGAGGAGGTGGGAGGGTCGGCCCGAGACAGGTGCGTCAGTGTTGTTTCTTCTGGAGAATTCTGCTTCTCGTCCACCTGCCAAGCATCTACGCCTGAAAATCAATACTTAAAAGTGCATGGCCTTCTTGGACACACAATCAGTAGCTGTATATTGTGTTTGTGTGTGGTGGTGGGAGGGTGCACGGTAGCCATCACTCCACACAATGTGCAAGGGGATCTGCAAGAGGAGGAAGTCTTTAATTGAAAGGATCTGAAACGATTTTGACAGAGAAGAAAACACAAGATTAGGAACAGAGATAGGGTTGACTGAATGAATGATGTGGCTCAGTTCTGCACCAAAATACGACAATCCAGTACTTCGGGTCCTCGTTGCAGCAGCAATAGGTGAAGGCAATGCAATATAACTCCACACTAGTTGTACAGCATTACAGCTCCATCAAGTGGCAGAAAGGAAAGGATGCTTCAAATATCAGGAACGTCATGTTATCTCTTTGCTTCTAGTTAAGCAAACCGAATATTATATCAGGCTCTCTAATTGTAGTCCGCTTTTCACACTCCGAAAGCGGCTTAGTAGCCTACAGGACTGCCTAGTGTGTTAGCATTGTGTAGGTCTTACAGAGCTGCTAGCATGGTGGGAGACACTTCATATTTTAAGTTACATTTTTTGCTAATAATGGAGAAACAATTAAAACAAATTGTCATTAACGTTTAACTATGTATTTCAATTTCTCTGCTTGTATGCTTATTTTACTTTCTGTAGCATGTGGTCTTAACTAAAGTTTTAAAGAAGAAAGAATATTTTGGTTTTTTTGCTTAACCTAATATATATTTTAGTAAGATATAAAACCCCCCCCCCCAGTTAAATGTAATGCTCCAGCTTTACCTGTTCTACTGCCAAGGTTAGCTCACTGGATACTGCTGTGGGACATTTTGCTGACTTTATGACTTTAACCTTTACTGTACTGAATGTGCTTCCATGTAGTCTTGTCTCTTTCGCCCACATTGGTCATGTAAAAGTTACACTTTAACTGCCTTGCTTTAACTTTTATAACTGTCACAGGTTAGTCAATGTGCCTTTGGTCTTTTTCAGCTGCTAGTTCATTTGTATTGTGACAAACCTATATTTAAGAGCATTATAGCACTATTTTCAGTGTAGGAAGACATTTTCTTACCTTTAAGTTAAGTAAAAGTACCAATACCACACAAATAAAAACTATTGTGAATGCTGTCTCTGTGATCTATACAAATTAATCAAAAACAAATATTTTGTAATGACTTAATCTAAAAGTAACTAGAACTGTTAAACACATATAGTGGATTACAAGTATAAATACAAACATAGTCAAAGTACAAAGTAGGACAGTATAAGTAAAGTAGCTGAAATTGTGTTACGTTACATTCCATTTCAGTGTTTTCATGAATGCTTTCCTTTTTTTTAAGCTCAACCATCATTTCTTTATATATATTTGTAATGGTTGAGTTTCTCTACCATCTTCATCCCTTGTGGTTTCTTAATTCATGCTTTACAGTTGATGTTTTTTGTGAATGTAATCTATTTGTATCTGTGTTCATAGTCTGTTCTGTGCTGTCTTTACATCACACTTTGTGATAAAGACGTGTTGTTACTGTGGATGACGTGATTTGATTTCATACTGTCATTGTCATCGACAGTAAGATGAGCAGCAACAAAGCATAGAAGTAAAACAAATCCTCCCTCTGGCTGGAATTTACAAGTAAAAATATAACATGTAGAGCGATGTGAATAATCAATCCTGTGAGCAGAATTAGGCAGCCAGCCAGGTACTAATAAATTCAATCCTAATCTTGTACTGAAAACTGAAAACTTTTTTCGAAACAAGGATTAGGTCTTAAACTCTCTTTGTCAAGAAATAGGGATTGTTTCCGGGGCAAATAATTACCCCAAACATTTGCAAACATTCTACATTTACCTGGGTCAGTTTCTGTGTGGGGTCAGTTAACTGTATATGTATGCAGCTTTCAAACAGTCAGGTAAATGACAGTGAGACAGTGCTCAGAACATTGTTACTCAAATCTCTAGATATTTGAAGCCGTGAGTCGTTTCCATGGGCGCTGTTGCCGTGCAATCTCAGAGGGGACCCTAATCCTGTAAATCTACCAATGAAAGGGAAGCAGCTGGCACAGGTTGTTATCTGTGTTAACCTGTTGGTGACGTCCCATTAACAGCTACATATGATACGATCATTATCTTTACCTTTCAACTGAGCTGGAAAACAGTCATTGTGTAAATGCAGTATATATACACAAATGATGTCATTTGGGGTAAAAAAGATTCTTGAATTCAGTTACATCATTACATTTAAGTTTTCACATTTTAATGAACATTTAGCATACATTAACAATAACAAATATTATTTACTGTTTTACCTTTGTAAGCAAGATATTAAAACACATGTCATAAAATGTCCATATGATTATGTGAAAATCAAAATAGTAATTGGATTATTACATTTTCATTGATATATTTCCAAATACCCATACATACATACATACATACATGGAACATTTGTTGAATAACATTTTAATTATTGAAGTTTATATTATCAATGTAATAATGATAAAAGGCTTTTGTTTATAGCACTTTGTACTAACCTTGCATGGAATTGCATCATATGGTGCAACAGTGAAATCTCTCCTGTAATGCTGCATTCTTTATATTTCCGTATTTTGTTTTTTACATTAACGTTCTCCCTATGAAGGATTTCATTGACAAATGTTTTCACATGGTACTGTGTGTAACAGTTGATTCAATCTGAATCAAAACAGACATGCCCTATATCTTGTAACCTGTTGTTAAAGGGAAACAAAGTGTGCACTTCTTCCTTTGTGCTCATTCATGTGAGAGAATAACCTGGGGATATGTGGGATGACGAGGTTGGCCTATCACAGGACTGGGGTAGCATGGGAAAGGAGTGTTGATCCCTGCAGATGAATGTTATTGGGCTGAGTTCAGCTGCCTGTAATAATCTCCTGCTGGCTTTTCTCCTTCAGCCCTTTTCCCAGTCGGTGCTAGCTAAACATCAACATGAGGATCAAGTGCCAGGTGTGAGAACCAGGGCTTATTCAGTCTGTTATCGTTAGATGGTCAATGTCAGGATTATTTTCTACCTTGGTTATTTACCTTCTAATTGTTCCCTTGAAATTTGAAATGTTAGAGGGTAAAGGGAGAGGCGGTTTTCTCTCACTCTTCCAGTGCAGGAAACACCTGCAGTGTGTCAGGAGGCATCTGGATATCTTCCCCCATCATGTCTCTGTGTTTGTGTAAGGTGACAAAATACAGACAAAGAGAGCAAGCATTTGTATGCAGTCATTTCCTTTACCATGTACTAATTATGATTGTAAAATACTCACACTTTATACTACTACCACATTATAAGCTATTTTCTTATCTACGGTGATGCATGATTACTTGTTTATCTTGAGATAAAGTCAGTTAGTGCAACTATCAACTCTATGTGAAATAAAGACAGATTTTGCTGAGTCACTGTGATAAGACTGAGGCAAGCCACATGAAAGAGGAAATGACTCGGACACCTTTGAACCGTTTTCCGTACTAAACCATTGGAAAACTTATACTTTACCCTGGGAGTATATTTTAAAATGGCAATAATGATAATTCAACACTATATATTATAAAGCTTTTTATCCCCAAAGAGGGGATTCAGGTCTGGCTGTTGCACTAAGGCAAACATAAGTAGGCCTACAGATAAAAAGAGAAACAAAAATGTAAAATAGAAAATAACCTTGAAATACTATAGACGAGTCAAGTGAGTCATTAAACAGCTGTACTTGACAGTGACCCAAAGTTAATGTTTAAACTTCACTAAATAATGCTTTGCTTTATCCTACTTGTGGAACAGTATGTTCAGGTTTTGCTTTCAAGCTTCCACATGTCGATTATCACTATAGATTATTACACACGATGCAAATCCAGTTATATATGCTGGAAAGGTTCTCAGCCAATCGAGTGAAAGCAGAGCTGGACACAGAGCCAATCCCGGTGGGTGGTCATTATTTTCAGCCAATCCAGGGATCTCTGGGGCGGGGCCTATGAAGGTGCTTTCTAATGTCTTTTGCACGCTAGCTCGTGTGCCGGGAGGGACACGCAACACACCTTGGGGCGCAAAACTTTTACAACTAGGGGGCCGTGACATGTCGGAGCAGTTATGTAATACAAGCGTGAACCGAAGTTTCTCTACAGAAGCGGATTTAAAAGGGGGGGAAAAGTCAAAGTGAAACTACCGTGTGAGTGAGGGCTACCATGGAAAAAGACAGTAAAGAAACCAAGACCAACCCAGCGGCTTCGGCCGGCCTGGTGTCCAAGATATTTTTCTGGTAAGTGACCAAATGCCCCGGATGATGAACGCTGTTAGCTGCTGTTAGCGGGGGATTTAAAATGTCTCATTGTAGCTGAATGTTTCTCTGTCATTATACTCCCCATTGTCATGAACGTGTAACATAGGAAACTGAGAGTAAACGGAAACCAGACTGTTTTGCTTTTGACTGTTTGAAAAAAGGTGACTGGGTTATTAATCCGTTGAGGTTGGTCAACAAAAACTTGTTTCACTTTGAGGTGACAGTGATCAGAAACATACCCTGACAATAATATTTGTGTTTAGGTGGTTATTGTTTCCTGTTTTACCGGTTTTGTTTTACTCAATTGAAAGTTGGACATGTTCATTCCAGTTTGTATGCAGTTCGCCGTTTTATTCTAGACCTACATATTAGATCATATAGTTAAAGTTCACCCCACTTTAAGAGCTCAAAAGTGCTCACATTGATGTATCTGATTCATGGCTGCTAATGTATTTTAAGGTTTACACTTCCATGTGTAGTTGGATCATCTGACAATTATGAATAGATCCACTGTTCTCTTGATCTTTATCAAACTCCAAAACTGACTCTTTTGAGTATTTCTCCGTCAGGTGGCTCAATCCTTTGTTTCGCATTGGATACAAACGCAAGTTGGAAGAAGGGGACATGTACGATGTGCTCACAGAGGACAGGTCGAAGAATCTTGGGCAGGATCTTCGGAGGTACAGAGCCTTCAACAAGTTTGTTTACAAAGTAGTTGTATCTGTGAAATATACATGTCATCATCATGTTGGACTCTAAAAAACCCTAACTTTCAGTTATAACTACATTACATATTAATCAAATAATGTGTATAATCAACAGAATAATCCCCAACATAAAAACATGTAAATATACAGATGTCACAGTAATAGAGTGGGGCAGGAATTATATATTTGTGTATGCTGACCTGATGTTAGCATCGCAAAGGTTTCGTGACAAATAGTCAATACAATTTGACCTTTTAACTTTTGGAATATTGCAGAAAAAAAGCTCTGTGGCAAATACATGTTTATGATACTTGCATGTTATATTCATCATGATAAGCTCCACATATCAACACCACTTTTATTTATTATTCAAGCATAAATGCATTCTTTAAACTAACTTCATCACGGTCATATGACTGGTGTCTAGCGGTCTCAATTAGCCACGTTTTACCAACCGTCTTTTTAAAGACCCAAAGAAGCTTCAGAATATGCACGGAAATGTAAGAATACTGACATATTTGATGTCGTAAAACAAAACTTCAAAATCGCCTTAGCATTTGTTAACGAGATACCTTTTTTCCCCCGGCGTGTGACCGAAACTTAGAGACCAGAGAACTGGAAGTGTTAAATGCTGACTCATTTTCTGTTTGTTTTTTTACTCTTTTTAGAATGTTAGGAAATATTGAAGATCACATTTGTCATTGTCATATCTCAAAGGTCCATCCCCCCACCATGCAAACGTTTTGATTGATTTCAGACACAAAATAATGATTTACTATTGAGTGACGGATCAATTTGAGTGTGTATCTGTAGTAGCTGGTAGATTTTCATTTTTTAAAAAGAGAATTCCCCACCCTGAACACTTCAGGAAGCTCCCTAATAAGGCTGGGCAAATATCGCCATCTGCTCAACGAAATACCTCAATATTATTACTGCAATGATAGTGTAGGGTTTACTGTTAGGGCTTTAATAAAATATCCAAACATTTACATTTTTCGACTAATATTCAGTAAGTTATTCTGGATTTAATGACTTAGTTTAAGACAAATAATACAAGCTTAAACATTTGATCACTTAACAATAATGCAGCCTTTAAAATCAGCAAAAGGCAACACGTTTGATATTATTATATCCAAAAACTATGACAATGTCTAGTCTAATGTCGCAATATCAATATGTTCTTCAGGCCTACAGTACTTCCCCAAATATTCTATTTGTGCACAGTCACTTTCCTTAGTAATAAGATGAAATGGGTAAATACCCAGAAGGTTCCACTTTAGCCCACTGGGGATTCTCAGTTTGTTATATCTGGCTGTCCATGATAAGATCCTCCTTTGAAAAACTTCACCACATGACCGTGAGCAGTAAATGAGTGAGAGGCTTATTGGGATGAAATTTATGTAACGTTGATGGTGTTATAAATGTTGTCAAAGTCCAGTTGTGTCGTCAGAAACGCGTAATGAGATGCATTCCTTTCAAATCTAGCAGCAACATGTTTTACTGTATGTCTATCGAGAGAGCTGTTTTAAGATAACATCTGTAATAAAAAAATTAATAAAAAGTGCTTACCTTTTAACTTTTGCCACAGGATTTTTGAGAGACTATGGAGGCCGGGCAAGGTTCCCCCGGAAGAAAACTGTATACATTTAAAGTTCAATGCATCCATGTGGTGCACTCTCCATCTGTGAGGAAATATAGCGGCTGGTTCTGTGAAGTCACCCTTAAACAAATTCTAAACACATTGGTTGTTTGGAATAGATAAACAAATCTAATCCCCTGGCCCTGCCCTACACTAGCATACACCAAAACACACACACACACACACACACACACACACACACACACACACACACACACACACACACACACACACACACACACACACACACACACACACACACATTAAGAATTAAAATAGGAGTGTGACTAAACACGCTCCTGATATCCAAAACCAAGATTGGAGCAGAGCATTGTTCTAAGATCAAACCGTGTGTTCTTGTACGTGTCAGGAGATTTAAAAACAAAAAGTATTGTCCTCTCTGTCGACAGAAACAGACTTACCTTTACCACAAATTCCTCGATAATGAGATCCTTTAAATTCCCAGCACATCCTAACTTAAAACCAAATGTACAAACACATTGATCACCACATTTGCAAGGCGTTAACCTTCTAAATAAAGAAAAGTAATGTTAACATTCGCTCTTTTGCGTTGGGTTGCATCCTCAAGGTCAAACCAACATGATGAATGCATTTCCTTTCCTCAATCACAAAGCGTTTTTTTTTAACAACGTTTGTATTCAGCATTGATTACATCCATGTTTACTGGCTTAGTTCCTCCCTGCCTTTTATGACGCATTACCACCTGTGGATCAGGGGGATATCGTGAAAGCATTGACAGGAATCTGAGTTACATAACCTGCATGCACACGCATGTCCTGATTCTCCACAGGGAAACTTAAAACGGCAGGAAGTGAAAACTCTCATTCTATAAATAGAAACCCTTTATAAACATTTAGGCTGTGTCCAAACTGCCTTGAGCTCTAGTCATATAATGACTTGGAATGTCTAAATTAAAAAGGGCCCTGTGGCTCCCAACCGTCTTTAATCGAAGCAATGTTTAGTTTTTTTCTTAAGCCTTAACCGCGGGGTCTTAAAAAATATTAAAAGTTGATAAATCAATTTAGCGAAAACTAAGGCTATTAAAAAGTATTAAACGGCATTTTCCAAGGTATTACATTTTGTAGCTTGTTTTCAATAAGTATATAAATTGTCCAAAGAGGTTGTGTTCTACAGTCTGCCTGAATGTAATCATTGCGTAGGTGTGTAGTGTGATTCTGTGTACTTTATTTATGGCATCCCGTTGGATTTGACGTCATCTGAACAGGACATCGCACGCTCACTGCTTAATAGCGCCAAGGTCCGTTTACGCCGGTTGTTAAACAACATCGTTATGGGGAAATGCAAGTTTGCGTCCAAATGGTTGGAAGATAAGGAGGAAAGACAATCAATACTGTATATAGTCAATGTGAGGTCTTAAAATGTATGGAAAGGGTCTTAAAAAAGGTCTTAAAAAGGTATTACATTTGACTTCAGGATTCCTGCATATACCCTGCTCACCCAGGCCCAATTGTGTTCCAGTAACTGTCACATTTGATGACATTGTTTTTTTGGGCAAACTGAGCAATAACATTTATAGATTTTGATTGTGATTACATTCATCCAGCTTGTGGTGATTTAATAGCTGTGTTCATCCATTGGAGCTAAATTAATCCAGAGGAAAAACAGCCACACATAAACTGACTTTATTATTCACATCAGTGGTATTTTTATCAATCAGGCCAGGACTTATTAACTGGCAGGACTGCACTCGTGTTGCATTCTGCTTACATTGTAAGCCAACTACCTAATGCTCATCCCTCTGTGAATTACATTGTTCAGATTTCAGCCTGGACAGCTATGTGGTTACACTATTACACTTCAGCCAGCATTTTTCTGACCCAGATCCCTGTGCCTGAAATGGGAACATAGTACATCGTTAGCTTATAATATTGCAAATTGAATTGTATCTGTTTGTGATGTTCTCCTTCTACATATCCATTGTCTGCCCACCTTTGAAGTGGAACCATGGTATCAGCTGAAGTCGATGAGGTTGTACTGGAGGATGGGACAAAGATAAAGCCTGTTTCGGTCATCTTTCCAGAGGGTAGCAACATCCCTGCACAAAAACATGATCAGGTACAGTGCTGTGTTTCGAGTTATTGAAAAATGTCATAGGAAAAAGTCATGTTGTTTCTTGCCGGATTTGATGGTATCAGAGATGTTTCCTACCCACCAAGGAGAAATGATCTGGTGGGATATAACACACAACTGCAGCAAAAATAAGTGAATGCAATCATTCTTTGAAGGTATTCTTTTGAGGACGTAAAAAAAACGTATTACGTTCCGTGAGCGTTTGCACCGGGCAAACTCAATCGCCAGAGAGTCTCTTTCTGCCTCCCAAGCAGTTATGAAGCGTAACTATGACGTGCCTCTGTCCATAGGCACTTCGAAATAGACAGGCGATAAAGTCCTCGCACTATTGCCCATCCCTGGCTCTGCTCTTTCTGCCAAATTCCTCGGTCCGTACGAGATCCACGATTGTCTCAGCGACATGGATGATGTAATCTGTACTCCGGAAAGACGGCGTAAAACGCGCGTATGTCATGTCAACATGTTGAATTCGGCATTTATCTGCACTTTTATTTCACACATTGTGTTCTTACTTCATTCTGCTCTTAACAGTATTTTCACACACTGTCCTAAAACCATAAGATTTTGTAACAGCTTGAGCAAAACCCAATTTTGTCCATCAAGATCTGTCTGAAATTCCACCCTCACTTCCTACTTTGTCTGCAACCATAGAGACAGCTTGTAGGCATTCAGAACCAGGAAGCCAACGTGACCCCTCTGGCCTGCACTGTGTCCTTCTGCTCCTCAACCCCTCTGTCCGTCTGCACAACCATCACCTTCACTGACCACCTCCACAACAGGTAACTGATTATTCTTAAACACCAACCCTTAGATTCTGTTTTCCTTGTCTCTTTTCTCCTTTTGCCTACAAGTTTCCTTTCTCCTTCTCACAACCCATCCTCAAAAAAAGTACAATCCCTTCCTTATTTGTCCTTTCTACTCCCCTTCACTTTGAGGGACTCAACGCTTTGTTGCAAAACCTTTCACTTCATTATTTTTCTTTTTCTTTCTGCTGCCAGGTTCAAGGTTAAGCTGTTTGCTATCGCTAACAACTGTGTGTTGACAGTCTGGCCCTACATGGCTCTGCACCGCTCTGAGCAACAGATAGTTCTCAAGACTGGTACCAAGCATGGGACCACAGCTGTTGAGCTGATCCTTCAGCGCTATCACACACCAAGTCCTGCCTCTGGTCCGACTTCATCACCCTCCTCCTCCTCCTCATCCTTTGATCACAACAGCTCAACAAACAAGAAAACAACCTCAGACGAGCATATTAAATGTACTACATAATTGAGTTATATTTGTAATAGTTTGTGTATGTCTAAGCTGGAGTGTTTTTTTCTATTCAGAATACTGTGTGTGTACTGTCCTGGACAGATTCCTTTCCCAACAGTGACAGTGTGAGCGGCCAGACCAGCAGGAATACAGACGTTTCTCCTAACACCACAATCAATCTCGGCACCCCAGAATTCCCTGCTGCCGACTCTGAGGAAGGACTATATTACCAGAATGTATTATTGGCTGTGGAGAGGTGGTTTAGCCTGTTTGGATGGCCGAGTGGACCAAACCCTATCTCTGTGCCACACACGCTCAGAAGGTATACCCGAGAGTTTCCCAATTGTTTTGCATGGGAATCTATTTTTACTTTCACTTTTATGTTTAATTACAATGAATGCTTTGCTTCTCCCCACAGAGTTGTGTCAAAAATCCAAATGAATCCTACCACTGGACGGACTTATCGAGTCAGTCAAAATAAAGACTCCAGGTGTGTATATGAGATAAAAAGGTGCAGTTAGGTGCCCTAAAAAGTCTCCAATGTGTCATCCATGACCCATAAATGGAAATGGAAATGGGCATTCTACTCTGGTTTGTAGTCATTTTATTTATTCAAAGAGTCGATATGGGTCAACGAATATTTTAGATGATACTGGAGTTGGAGTTCGAATGTAATGTTGCATCAGCTGGCATTGATCTGGCTCTAGACACAAGGCTCATAGCTATTGTATTGTTGTGTCCAGGTCTGTAGTGGGCATGCTTCATCACCTGACTGGCAAACAGATCCCTGGTATTCCTCGGTGTCAGATGTTTTCCAGTGATATAGACCAGTGCACCCATCAGCTGCTGCAACAGCATGAAGCTATGCTCACTTTTCTCAGGTAGGCCTTACACACAGAAACCATGCTACTGTGCTGCTGACTTGGCTCCCATTGTTTCCTTAGTTATGATTAGTGGAATTGATTGCAGCTTGCATTTTCATTTATATTTTGGACATGTTTTGGGGCTACTGTGAATGTTTAAGGTTCATTCTAATTCTGTGTACAGGGTGCAGGGAGCCAGCCTTTGTCACATCAGACCAGAGTACCTGCTAGACGTGCAGGAGTTCAAACACTGGTGCTCCCTGCAGGTTCAGATTCACACATTTCAGAAAATAAGTAGACATAAAACCAATTGTTTATGGATGCTTCTTTGCCGACAATAAAACAACATATTTAAAGCTCCATGCATATGTATTTTTCTCTCAGTCAAATGAGGAAGATCATGGTTTGGACTACAGCAGTTTGGACTACGAGTCTCTGAGCAAACGATCATGGACTGACGTGTTGCTGCAAATATACAAGGTGAAAAACTTTTTCCGGACTCCCATCTTGCCAGTAGATGTTTTTTATAACTATGTTCTTGTAAATTACTTAATGTTTTTTTCCCCTCTTTTCAATATTCCTCTGCATCTCAGGTTCTTGTGTTGTGTCGTGTGTCAGAGAGGGGTTCAAACTCATATCTGAACCCTGAGGACATAGATGGAATCCTCCCTGTGAGCTCACCGCCTCTGGCCAGTAACATCTATTCACCCTACGAGCTCCAGCTGCTCGATTGGCTCAACATGCATTACAAGAGCATGAGGAAGACCGTGTGGGGAACAGGTAAGACCCAGACCATGTACAGTTAACCCTCTGAGACCCACGGGGCCGTATACGATCCCAGATATCACGTTGTGTTCAAAGCATCATAACTTCTCAGCAGTTTGAGCCAGAGCCATGCTGTGTTTTTCCTCTTAAACTACAGAAACGGCAATAAACAACTCCATTAAGTTTTTCATTGAGAGGCGTTTACGTATTTCGGTGAAACTAATGTGCGTAGAGTTTTAAAAGATGCGGATAGTCTCACCTTGATTCTAGCGCTTTGCTTATCGTTTTCTGTTTTATAGGTCTATTCTCATCCACAATCTTTGTTTGTGACGTAAAGAGCATAAGAGTCACGTTTCTGGATCGGACACTCTGAGTGGATGCAGTCACAGCCAATCGGAGTCTGATTCAGAGGGTTGCCTGTCAGTTCCGTTTTTATGTGTACTGAAACGAGAGCCGGTATAATTCCACGCGCGATAACCAAATAAAAGTTGGAATACGTTCTTTTAGTGTTTTGAAAGTAAACTGAGGTATGGCAAAGAAGTTTACTGCAGCTGAGGCTTGAGGCGAGAGCGTTACCCGTTAGGATGAAGAAATGAAAGTGGAGAGAGGATGACGAGAGGAGTTAGTAGGGTTGGGGAGCGAAAAGCGGAGGAGGTGGTTGGGCTGCGAAGAGCACGGTTGTGGAAGGTGTTACTTGGGAGGGGGGGCGGTGGGCGGGTAGCGTGCGCAGTTTTATGTTCTGAGGGCAGGGGCAAGGTGGAATGGGACTTGGCTATGGTGTTGGGGGTTCGCACGGCAGAGTGGGCGCGAGCGGGGAGGTTTGTTGCAGAGGTTGAGGGCACAGTAGGTAGGCTGGGGTGGTTTAGCCTGTTGACCTTTCCCGTAAGATGAGACCAGAAAGGCACAGTAGAGAATGAAAATAAGTTGGTCTCAGGCTGATACCCAGTTGCTTATAAGAAATGCTACTATGACCTCCACCTCCAAGCTGCTACATTGACCAACGGAGTCCGCACCGGTAACTAGACCGAGAGTCTGTGTCCGAGTAGTGTCGATTAACATAACAACACAGGTCCAGACATCACCGTAGCGAAGGTAGTGACGTGGACCGTTGTCTAGGGACCATAAGGGAGGCGCACAGTCTACGAAAGAGGGTGAGGCGTGTGATATTAGGCTCCCCTATAAACGGCATGTATTATGTTTTTTTTAAATTTTTAGTCCAACGTGAAATAAGTAAGTAACTAGGTCTGACTGAATCTTCTAATATGTGAATAAAGACAGAGTAATCAATGAGCGGTAAGAAAACCCGTCACAGGTACCCTCAAAGAAAACACTCCTTAGGACAGTGAAAAAACAGGACGGTTAAAACTTCTCATGGTCGTGAGCTATTAGAGTACAGTTATAGGGGACCGTACGACTCGTCTAAGGGGAGCTGTAAAAGTAGTTGGTGGCAGCAGCGGAACTTNATGTCTAAATTAAAAAGGGCCCTGTGGCTCCCAACCGTCTTTAATCGAAGCAATGTTTAGTTTTTTTCTTAAGCCTTAACCGCGGGGTCTTAAAAAATATTAAAAGTTGATAAATCAATTTAGCGAAAATTAAGGCTATTAAAAAGTATTAAACGGCATTTTCCAAGGTATTACATTTTGTAGCTTGTTTTCAATAAGTATATAAATTGTCCAAAGAGGTTGTGTTCTACAGTCTGCCTGAATGTAATCATTGCGTAGGTGTGTAGTGTGATTCTGTGTAGTTTATTTATGGCATCCCGTTGGATTTGACGTCATCTGAACAGGACATCGCACGCTCACTGCTTGATAGCGCGCCAAGGTCCGTTTACGCCGGTTGTTAAACAACATCGTTATGGGGAAATGCAAGTCTGCATCCAAATGGTTGGAAGATAAGGAGGAAGGACAATCAATACTGTATATAGTCAATGTGAGGAAAAGTGTGTCGCCAATGTAACCGGTTAAAACTCAAAGTGACGATGAGGTCTTAAAAGGTATTACATTTGACTTCAGGATTCCTGCATATACCCTGCTTAAGAGAATGTTTATTTACTTATTCACAAGAGAAATAAGCAAGATTTTGTTCTCAACTATCTTTCTAATCATCTGTTGACCTCTAAATTGTAATGTATGCAAACCATTCACATAAACAACCAAGTGCCATTGAATAAGTGAAACACAAATGACACTGATGTCAAAATGGGATGAAAACCATAAGAAATGTCGTGTTAATAATATATATAAAATGGCATATCCAAGGGCTAAATAATATAACGAAAACATGTATTGTGACTTAACATTTTTTTGAATACCAATATTACAAATGTTAAGGTCTTTCTCTAATGTATTATTTATTATACAGATGCAATAAGTCTTTCTATAGTCAGACTTTATAAGTGTACACTGTATAAAGGCTCTTATATGTAGGCCTGGCCAACGTGTGATGATGAGATGAATTGACATTTCTAAAAAGCGTCATTCAGAGAGTTATTCATTTAAGCCTTATAAACATGTAATTGAATGAGCATTAAATGAAAACAGGACACAGAACATCCGGCCCGTTGAGAACATTCATTTATGAAAAATAACGTAATTTTCGGACCTCCTGTCAGTAACATTATCGTGGGATATAAAAAAAAAACTTTAGTAACCACTGACTCCACCATGCTACTTTTATTTAGATAACCTTAAGCCTAGTTGTAACCCCTTTCTGCTTCAGCGTGTGCTAAACACAAAGCTAACTCAAAGCCAGATCATTTTTAACACGCTTTTACAATTTGGACAGTGCCTTATCCCACTGATAAGTGCTCAGTCATAGGGACTCGACGGTCACGTCAAACATTATCAGAAAACGTCCGAAAGATAAGCTGTAATGTTTAGCTTTAATGATAGTAGACAGGAAAACCATCCCTCAGGTTGAAGATGAAATGCAATTGTGTTTTGTAAGGTGGTATATTTTGCAACATGTGCAGACTGATTGCAGGACGGAACCAGAAACACTACTCCATACATGAACTGTCTTTAAACGTGAACCTAGGCCAAGTGTTTGAATTTTACACGCAGCAGTTGATTTCTTATCACGTTTAATGTCATTTTATGGTCTGTAAGCAAGCAGATAAGGGTTATTGTGTTTTAACATCTTGTTGCATGCATTTGATTGAGAGTGAAATCGAAATCCTAACTGTGACCAAGTGAGCATGCGGTACTGGTCTCAATGCCTCTATGCTCTGTTAGTCATGTTTCTATATTTGTTAGTTTGGTTGAAACGTTCTGGGACAAATTGCTTTTGAACTGCTTTACTTAAAAAGGAAGCAACTGCCACTCCATTGTCCAAGAAAATGATGCTATCTCTCCATAGGCACCTGTGATACCACGATGATTTTTGATTAAATATCGAAGGTTTTTACAAAATGAGAATTATTTGTGGAGCACTTTTTCATGACTGGACATACAGTTGCCACTTTATACCCCTAATGCCTAAATGTATCTAAATATCTGGTCTTATTGTATTTTTTAACTAATCTTAAGAAAAGACTGTGCCTAAGCTTGAAATAATTATTTTATTCTGTGCCATAGAGCATCCAAGTGTTTTTTGGAATGATGCAATCTACAAATGTGATTTTTAATCTTCAAAAATGTATGAAAGCTTCAGCAAATATGTAGCATATGTACTGACTCCTCCTGGTGCATGGCTGGAGACTGTTTATCACACTAAAAAAACATTGTATAACATGCTGTCTCTATGTTACAGATACTGGGATGTTGAGATCCAGAAAGCTACCAAAGAGCTGCGACCACCTTCACTCACCAAATGTATCATAAAGTGCTACTGGAAACCATATGGAGTGCTGGGAATCTTTACCCTCATTGAAGTAAGTGTTTAAAACGTTGTAAATACGTTGAATAGTGGATTTACTCTCTGGTTTGAAAATGACTTATACAATGCCAAACTTACCGTACTGCTAAACAGATATTTTTGGGAACATGCTTTGGTTGGTTAATATTAAGGGCTTTGTTAAATCTTCGATTCTGATTGGTCAATTTTGACATTGTACGGCCTGTTATTTCCCTATAGCGGACTTCTGCTGAAGACACTCTGATCAAGGCACTATGTGTAGTCGTATTATTCTGCAGAAAGAAGCCCGGTCAACTTAACATCAGCTGTTGTCAAAATAAAAGTAATTGTGAACAAACTTTGACATTTTCGGGACAGAGAACCTCGATCAATGCTGCCGGCATTTTAAGTTGGGTTGCTATAGTCACAGTTCAGCTGTTGCTTCGCAGTATAACAGACTAACCAAAGCAGAAGGAATAAAATCCTTTTTAAATCAATAAAATATCTTAATTTTTTATCTGTATTTTTGAAAATTATGTAACTTTTTTAGTTTATCTTTTTTTTTTTTTTCTTTTTTTTTTAGCATATTGTTTATTATATTATCACTTAGTACTTTTTTAACGCATGTAAGATATGCAACACTAAGCTGTCTGTGGCTCTTTCCTGCTGTAACTGCAAATTTCCCCTCTGTGGGGATCTGAACAGTGGCCGTTTCTCAATCTCGAGGATGCTGGCTTGGTAGTCGCGTACTTCCAAGTCACGGCTTCGGAAAACGAAGAAGAATGCAAGAGGCTAACAAGTGTGCCACTGTCTCTAACGGTTTCAACATAAACTGTACCGAAAATAAATACCTCACGATGTCTATCTAATTATGAACTTGCTTTACTTTCACGGAATACATTTTTGGTGATAACAAATGTAACAAAGTAACATATTTACCAACACTACATACTTACATTTAAATGTAAACATTACATTCTCCGCAAGGGTTTTTGAAATTGGTCCGTGCGCAAAGCATTGTGGAGATTTTAAGGATGCAAAGTCTACCCATGTGCAGCCTCGGAATTTCCCCCAAACCAAGGACGCGGCCTTTGTGGAATTCCAAGTATGCTGGACATTGGAACGGTCCTGCTACGCCACTTGATGACGTAGCATCCTTGAAATATTGGCTTGGAAGCCAGTATCCTCGAGATTGAGAAACGGCCTGTGATTCAAATGATTTATTTATTATGTAGCTGTCAGGAGAGTGTGTGAGGCTCCAGAGACGCACGTTGGTATGTTTCTCCGGTGTTTATTGTGTTTTATGTACTTGATCTGTTGCCTTATTTTGTGAGAGTGCTGTTGCGCAATCAACGGCTTTTTACGCAGCGTTGTCTGACTGCGCTCCGTTTTTTTGATGTGTATTTTAGACAGCGCAGGTGGTGTTCAGTTGAGGTTTTCTCTGGTGCTTGTTTCCAAGTAGAGAAAAACACTCTTATTAATTAATTTAAGTTACTGATGTGCAGGGGCGGATCTAGAAAAATATTCATGGGGTGGCAAGAGGGTGGCAGGAGAATTTCAGAGGTGGCATCCCCTGGCAGAAGTATATGCTGATTAATCGCAGTCATATCAATGAATGTTAACTTGGAAAGCCACAATATTGATANAAATATTGGCTTGGAAGCCAGTTTCCTCGCGATTGAGAAACGGCCACTGTATATCATGGATGTATAATAAGAACCTGTAGGTATATACACAGGAGGTACCGTCAACAAATGTGTCCGTGCGGAACCATACCCCCAGCCTGTAGTTCCGAGATTGAATTCTGTAATACAGTGGTCACCACAATAGTCCGTTTGAGTTTTGCCAGTGTGAACCATAGGTGTGAACGCAAACCGAACCTTCTGAACAATTAAACAATGTAAAAAACTGTTGTCTGGTACGCACCAGAGAAGCGGACTATTAGGTGTGAATGCACCCTTAGTGTTAAAAAGTAAAAACAAGTTTTTTCGTTAGTCAGACGACGAAGCGTGCCCTGTCACCCAAACTCAATTTGGTGGGGGTGAGAAGAGAGCACTGGGGGATGAAGGAAGAGTATCCTCAATAGGCGCGTTCACACCTAGTACTTTTCCCACAAAAGTTCCTGTGAACTCTTTAGTTCTCATGAACTAAGGCCCCGGCCACACGAGGACGCATACGGCAAAACGCATAGGATTAACGCAAACGCAATCGCAAGAAAGCTTCCGTCCACACGCTATGTTCACCGGATAGTGTCTGTCCACACGAGACAGCTCCGTTTAGCTCCAACCGCTGGAGAAGCTGCAGTACATATGCAGGAGCCTGTACGTGGCGCTGTAACTTCCTCCACAAAAGCAGCGAAGAAGCATGGTTGTCATGGTTGCCCTTCTGTTTATTCTCCGCGGTGGGGGCCGAGGGAACCGGGCAGAGTTTTTCACCAGTCAACGTGCTGTTAAAGTGGTTAGAATCTTCCGGACAACATTATAAAAGTGCCGCGTCAAAGGTCTTCTTTGTTATGTATTGAGCTTTTTAAACACATATGAATAACAAATCTATATAATATGAATAATATTAAGTACATGGAAGCCTCTCTTTTTCCTCCCCTCTCTTCGGAACAGCGTCAGTGTCTGTCTCATGCAGCAGCTGATCCAGTAATTGATGTACCCGGCCGACGTAAAAAAATCTTTGTTTGAACTAGTTGTAGTGTGAGTTGTTTTAAATAGCTAAGGTGTATGCTGACTGAAGTGTGTTGTGGAACATGGATGGTTTCTTGTGCGCAAGGTGATGCAGAGCTGCTGTCTTCGTCCGTCTCAGATTAACGGCACCTCGCCGTTGTAATGTTGCCATATCTCTCTCGAATTTTTGGAAGATTGTGAATATCTGTGAATTCCACGTGTGCAAGTTACTTTAACGTCCTGGGGGTGAGCAGCAGAGGGGTGTTGGGA